TTTTGTTATTGTTAATAAATGTCTTGTAACCGCCACAAAATTGTAGCAAAAGGTTACTTTATCGTTGCCAAATATGTTATTATTGTAGCAAAATGTTACGTTATCATTGCCAAATGTGTTATTGAATTTTGACACACATCACCCGCCATAAAATCAGGCGTATGCTTTAGGGTGAAAACCACCATCTTTTTGCATTTCTTGGGGTTGTGATTCATGAATCATGTTATTATCTTTCGCCCATGCCGAAATAGTATCGAGATCGGTCTGTAAAACGGAAATTGATTCAGTCTTAACTACTTCTGACAATGCCACATCATCGACAGACTTCCAACGATCTGCTATAAGTGGTGATTTGACTGCAAGATCCTTAATCATTATAGCAAACAAAATCGGTCCAAGTTTTGTTCCCTGTGGAATGCCAGCACGGCAAAGTTCCCAGTCCGAAATGAGAGAATTGAGCTTAACAGCTTGACGTCGGTCACTAAGAAAACTACAAATTAAGCCAGGCAATTAATGATCTCCTCACACCAAGATCGATCAATTTCTTCACTAAAACGTTATGATCAATATGGTCGAATGCTTTGCTAAAGTCCAAATAACAAATCCTTAGATAATGATCCGGTTGATCTATAATGACAAGAGCCAATTTTCTAACATGTCCAGAAGGCAATAGGTGGTTGAAGAGCCTTTAAGGAAACGAACTGCTGTGGGTCAATTTTATGTCGGACGTCTTCAGTCAGCCATTTTAGTGCAAAATCCTCCTGAATCTTTGCAATACATGGAGTGAGGGAAATAGGTCTAAGGTCTCCATCGGCCGTTACTGGGGTGGCTTTAGGTATAGGGGATATAAAGGAATCTTTCCATATCGTAGGAAAGATGCAGGCGGAAAAGGATGCGTTAAAAATTTCCGTTACGCGGGTAGGGAAAGTTCAGGGCAAAAGCTTTTCCAGATACGATTCGGGATGCCGTCAGGTCCAACAGATTTGAAAGCATTCATCTCAGACAGTTTGCACACCTCACTTGATCTTATCTCCGGCAGTTCATATTGAGCTGGCAGATAGGCCGGTAAGTTGTTTCTGTCCAATGGTAGAATTAAGATCAGTCGTAGCCGAAATATAAAATTTATTCAAACGTTTGGCTAATTTATTCAAATATCATTATCAGGGATATATATACATAATTCATAAACTGTATATGCGCACGAAGTCTCGCTCATAGAATTATTACTTAATGAGTTTTACTGTAATTAGCCTTTTAAAGTTTCCATTGACAGATAGGTTGTTGTTAAACTTCTAAAATGTCGATTACAGTTAGTATACGATAAATATTGAAGTTAATTTAAATATTGATAACTCACAGGACACAGGAGCATTATACAAGTCTAAAGAAGCTAGATTTTTAAGCTGGATTATACTTCAAATAAGCCCTCAATGGGCAATGCCAATGCCAATTATGACAAGTCGTTATAAAATTTATAATGTACCTGCTGTAAATTACTGTAATGGGTCGTTCTAGAAAAGATCCACACTCCCCCCACGGAGGAAATTTCTGCCGTCCGGAGGGGGAGGGGAGAAAAAATTGTTTCTGATAATAGTAAATGTATTAGGACCAAAGGTGCATGGGTTGACTACAAAATTTTTGTAGTTCGCTATAACTACAGCTACTTCAAAAATATGTAGTCAACTACAACTACTGCTACGTTTGAACAAAGGTAGTTCGCTACTGACTACAGCTACTGCTTAAAAAATGTAGCGAACTATTTCGCTATTTTGCTACACCATGTTTTTTAGTTTTACTGTATTTGGAGCATCTACTAACTCAGGCTAAAATGTAACCTATAACAAATCGACTTACGAGTAGCAACAGTAAACACAAAGCGTGCAAATTGACTATTGATTTGCGTGAGTGAGCATCTTCCTATGTAACACGCGCAATATAAATTTTTAAATTAAATTAAATTTAATATTTAAGCAAACCGTGTCTAAATGGGCAAAATGTAGTTCGCTATAACTACAGCTACTGTTTTAAAAAAGTAGTCAAAAACTGCTGGCTACTTGAAAATTGTAGTTCGCTACAGTAGCGAACTACAACTACTTTGCTACTACCCACCCTTGATTAGGACATCCAAAGGGGGTAGGAGGGTTAACTTGTAATTTCCTCTGTGGGGGTGGTATGGATGTTTTCTGGAATAACCCAATACACAAAATATAAAATAATTTACTATAAAGTACAATAGAAGTGTCTGCGGTGCATATATCGTCCTAGATATTCAAGTTGTACCACACACACAAAAGAATCTTGGTGTTTGTGTGATAACAGATAGCTATACTTCGACATAATCTTTCTTGATCGTTGAGTTTCAGCAATGTAAATGAAAGGAATTTTATAGTCAAAACACAGCGATGTTTGGGAAATCAAAGTCCCATTATAAAATAAATCCTTTGTTTTGAATATCGGATAGGATACACTTCAACTATAAACAACCATATCGTACGGCAATATGTGCTAAACTTCGCAAGCCAGGCGTGTGTGGAGTGTTTTCCTTGCAAGCAAAATATGATCCAGCTTCTCGCTTGAAATGTAACGCAACACTTATTATTGATGACATTCAGCATAGCAGGAAGTCTTGTCATGATCGGTACAAATTTAGAACAGTTCCTTTCATGATTTCTTGTTGCAAATTACATTTTTATCACCCGAAATTATAACACATGAAGTTGCAATTTTCCAAACGCAACAAACAGACTCCTCTACTACCCCTCCCTGAGATCAAATTCAATTTACCCCCAAAATCTGGGGGTTCATGTGACCAGCTCCGACCAGGGTTTTTCCTCCACAAGAGGAAAAGCCTGGGAACGAGGTTGTAGACAGATATGGTAAATTGGCTATGGTTATATATTGGATCAGATTTTAATATGGAATCTGGCAATCATGGATGATTGATTCTGACTCACACCCATTATTCGCTTACCCAGCGCGCACTGAATTACTACCCAACGTGCCTAACTGAAAAGTTTGGAAATTGTGCGCCGGAGATTTCGAAAGAATCAAAATTGTGCGCCGGAGATATCCGCCGCGCAATACAAACTTTCCACACTGGCCAACGCGCACTGAATACGCCTCAGGGCATTCCCATGGTCTTTTGCGTTATACTCAATTTTCATTGCATCCCCATGAATCATTGCATAAATAAGCAATGTTAGGGAATGTGGAAGAGTCAGTGATTGATTGACTTTATTTATATTTTGACAATTTTGTACATAATTTTGTACCTGGCTGCACATCTTTTTTCCTGAATGTTCTTCTCACTCTTTCAACTATCCATGGAAAAATATCATCATTAAAACTGAACACTTTGTCAAGGTTCATCTTTACATGATTTTAGCATTAATTGCTAAATTTCACAAAGTTTAATATTGTACGTTTGCTTTAAAATATACCAGTGGTCAGTTCTGTATTAATTTTGTAAAATTGATCTTGTGATTTCTAATGGATAATTGGGATCATGTTGTGATCTTAAGGGGTATGGTTTGGTGGATAGTGTTGTCATGGCAACATTCAAGCAGAGACGTTCTGAAATGATTCAATTTTGTACTAAATTTTCAAAACAACGTTATAAATGATTGTGCTAAAACACCGCAAAGAAATCTTCAGAAACAATGAGTGATGCAGATGAAAAGAAGGAAAGCTACAGTGATATTGACTCGGCTATATATGCCATTGCACCGAAACTTTCTCAGGAAGAAGGGCAAGTAGATGTGTCATCAAGCCCAGCTTTTCAATGTTTGGACGATGTGAGTTAATATAGTCTCTCCACGTTTTTTGTTTTACTTTTTGCATCTGGTCTCTTATTGGTACATTTATTCTCATATAATCTTATTGCTATCCTGGTTATTTAATTGTTTTGACCGTGTATTATTATATATTTGTCTCCACAAGTAGTACCGTATCAAATAAATTATATATATTTCAAGCTGCGCGGTTGAGCTCATGTTTCTGAAAGTGCGGATTTCATCCATTTCGATTTATTTGCTCACTTGTTTACTCCTTACAATATGTTACGATGCGAGTGAGGCGAGTCAACTAATATATATGCAGCAAGTTAGCTACCATAAACCATATATACTTACGATTTTAAAGTTAAGTGATCCTGATTGGGCTATTGCATTTAATACCCCCCCCCCCCC